AAAAAAAAAAACAAAAAAGAGTTACAGGTGTACCTAATGACAGAAAATTAAAGGCTCAGTTTGATGCATGTATCGGTACTTGCTAATTAACTTTAGAGTATTTCAGGATGTGGGAATAGTGTGATATATTTAACCCATTCCTTGGTAGGTACTTGTATTTTTTCAAGTTTGCACTATTTGGGATAATATTTCAATAAGTAGGATTTTGACTAAATGTAGACCATATTTTTTTTATTGGCTGATTGATCAACTGAATGAATGGGAGCTGTAGCTCTCACTGGTTTTTTGTTTTGTTTTGTTTTGTTTTGTTTTGTTTTGTTTTCTTTTAAGAGAAAGTCTTGAGATGTGTTCCAGGCTGGCTGAACTCACAATGGAGCCCAGGCTCGACTCAGATTCACAGGGCTCCTCCTGCCTCAGCCTCCTGAGGGACTACAGGCATGCACCATCCACCATCGCGTCTGGCAGAGACACACAGTAGTTCTTTCATTGTTTCTGCTCTGATCATTGCTCCTTTTTTTTTTCTTGTATGAGATTATAATACGGGGGTGGGGGCAGGATGAGAGCTAGTGTGGAGGTAGACTTAGGGTTTTGTTTTAGGTTTGTTTTTGTCTGTTTTGCAGTACTGGAGATTGAGCTCATGGCCTCATGCATGCTAAACAAGAACTCTACACTGAGCTGTAATCCTAGCCCAAGGTAGACTTACTCTTTACCATGTGTTCACTATACTGCTTAGGTTCCATGTTTCATGTATTTCTTTTCCAAAAAGGAAAACAGACATTCTGGGAAGAGGTGGGAGTGGTGCTCAGTGGAAGAGCTGACAGCCTAGGACAAGGCCCTGTGCTCATCCAAACCTTGAAATAATTAACTTGGTCATTTTACATTAAGATAGCATTTTGTGGGCCGGGGATTTAGCTCAGTGGTTCCGCCGCCTGCCTCGCAAGTGCAACATCCTGATTTCGAGCCCCAGTACCAAAAAAAAAAAAGAGAGCATTTTGTCTGTTGTGGTGGTGCTCACCTGGCCTGTGATTGCAGCACTCAGGAAGCTGAGGTGGGAGGATCACCTGAGGCAGGAGACCTCTGAGCTACATAGTGAAACCCTGTCTCAAAAAAGGGGCGGGGGAGCGTTTGGTGTCTAGAATTTTGGTAGCAGTTTGTTTTTTTGTTTTTGTTTTTTTGCTTTACATTAGTATACTCCTCTCTGTCATACCTTTCTGATTGTTTGAGTCTAAGAAATGGTCATGAAAACTTAAAATAATCATAAAAATGAAAATAAGCATTAGGTTTCATTCCTTGGTTCGGTTTAAATTGTACAAGTTGACCTCTTATCTCTGAAGACAGAAACTTTCCCTTGAGGGCACCGCCCATGGTCTCTCCCTGCTTCTGTGTAAAGGTTCCGATTTTAAGCCCAAGAAGCCAAAGCAGCCTGTTACTTTTATGGTACCGAGACCACCCTCTTATTTTTTTTTCCATTAATTTTATTGGTACTTTTTAGGTATACAGGACAGCTACATTCATCACTGGGATCTTAAACCTTTACATAATGTATCTTAGTTCTTATTTCTTCCCCATTCCCCTGTCCTCCCCTCACCCCCTCCTCCCCTCCCTATTTACAAAGACTTTGTTTCCATTTTTTCCTTTTCTCATATTTTTTTCTTTCCCTTCTTTCCCTTACCCATTCCACTTCCCCTATTCCTTTAGACCTTTTCTTCCTATTTCACATTATCTGTTATACATTTCGATCCTTATTTACACTTTCAGTTTCTCACATCAGAGAAAGTATTGGTATTTATACGGTGTCTTATTTATTTCACTTAAGAGTATGGCCTCAATGTGCATCCATAAATGTCTCTAGTTTCTCATTCTTTATGGCTGAGTAGTACTCCATCTATAAATAAAGCCCACATTTTCTTTATCCAGTCTCTAGTTGATGGGCAGTTGGGCTGTTTCCAAGTTTTAGCTATTACACACTGTGCCGCTATAAACATGGGTGCGCATATATCACTGTGGTATGATTCTTTTAATTATTTTTTGTGTTTTCTTGCCGTACCAGGGATCCAACTCGGGACCTTGCTCTTGCAAGGCAGGCAATGGCACCACTGAACTAAATCCCGAGCCCAATTCTTTAAATTCTTTTTTTTTTTCCCCTCATTGAGTTTATTGGTACATTTTAGGTAAACAGTACAGTTACATTCATCATTGGGATCTTGTACCTTTACATGACAAATCTTTTTTTTTTTTTTTGGTACCGGGGATTGAACTCCGGTCCTTGCGCTTGCAAAGCAGGCCACCGAACCACTGAGCTAAATCCCCGGCCCTTACATGACAAATCTTGGTTCTCATTTTTTCCCCTTGTCCCTGCCCTCCCTTCACCCGCTCCTCCCCTCCCCATTTACAAACATTTTATTTCCATTTTTTTATTTTCTCCTATTTTTTCCCCTTATTACTTTCCCCTACCCTTCCCACTTTCCCTACACCTTTAGCCCTTTTCTTCCTATTTCACATTGTCCATTATATCATTAGGATCTTATGTACCATTATAGTTTATTCACACCTGAGAAACTATTCGGTATTTACACATGTGTGACTTTTGGGAAGATACCCAGCAAAAGGACTTCAAATCCTCGTTGTTTGAGGTATCTCCATATTGATTTCCACAGTGGTTGCACCAGTCTGCACTCCCACCAACAACGGACAAGGGTTCCTTTCTCCCCACAGCCCCACCAACATTTGTTATTGGTTGATTTCTTGATAGCAGCCATTCTTTCTGGGGTGAGGTGGAATCTCAGTGTTGTTTTCATCTGCATCTCTCAAACGACCAGTGATGTTGTTGAACGTTTTTTCATGTTTATTTGCTGCGTTTACTTCTTTCAGACGATCCTCTTTAATACGACTGCTGCTGCTGTTGTCGTTGTCATTGTTGTTATGGTGCTCAGAGCCTTGGACTTGTACTGTGCCACTGAGCCATGTCCCCATCCTGGATAATTTTACACTGTTAGTTTTGTCTTAGGTCATATATTTAAGGTCCTTACACAGTACTTGACCTGCAGTAATTACTCAGTGTTAGCGATTAATTTTAAAAAATATATTGTCTCCTTAATCCTCACAGTAACCCCAGAGGGGGAAGGCAAACCCCCATTTTGCAGTGAAGAACAGAGAAATGTAGTTCAGGTAGCTTTCAAGTGAAGAGACCTGGATGGGGACGAATATATCTCGTTTGTATTTTATGTTCTTAGTCCTATTGCTACAAAATTTTTTGGTTTTTAAAAAAAACTTTATCAGTGTTTTCAATATTTCCTTCTATAACTCATTACATTTTTTAAAATTTTTGTTAGAGTGAATTTGTGGCATAAAGTTAGGCATTTTTATCTGTTCATTGTTGTTTTGTTGAGACAGAGTCTCACTTTGTAGACCAGGTGGGGCTCGAACTCAGAGAACCTCCTGCCTAAGCCCCCGAGGGCTGTGATTACGCGCCCGGCTAATAAAGTGAACAGTTCAGTGACATTTAGTACACTGACAATGTTGTGCAGTGTCATCTTTATCTAGTCCCAGAACACTGTCATTACTCTGAAAGAAAACCCATTGGGCAGCCACTTTCCATTGTGTTCCACCCCTGGCACCTGCCAGTCCGCGCTCTCTGGGTTCACCTGCGCCGGATATCTCCGCTTCACGGAATAATACAGTGCGGGGTTCCTGTGTAGTTTCACCTCATCCGCATAAGAGTTTGCGGCCCACCCAAGCTGTAGGGTATGTCAGTGCTTCGTGCCCCCCCCCCCGCACCAGGGATGGAATGCAGGTCCTTGTGCTTGCAGTGAGGTCGTGGTGCCACTGAGCCGAGACCCCAGCTGTTCTTCGTTCTTTTCGACAGCTAGATAGGACCCCATCGTGTGGGTGTTCCTGAAGTTTGTTACCCATTCCTCAACCGGTAGGCATTTTGTTTGTTGCCACTGTTGTGTTGCTGTGAACACACATGAATAAAGAAATTTGAGTATCTGTTTCCCATCACTTGGGGGATATACTGAGGAGCAGAATTGCTAGGCCATATGGCAATTCTATATTTAACCTTTTGAGGAAATGCCAAACTACTTCCATTATGACAAAATTTTTTAAATTTTCTAACTCTGAACATAAAACCAGACTGGTCTGGCCATGAGAGACTGCTGCCAGGAGCAGTGGTTTTTAGATCATGATTTGACTAAACACTGGGAGGGCAGCTTTGCAGTTGCTAATTTGGAAAAAAATGTTTCTGAAGTCATAGCAGAGTCTGCTCTGTCATTCAGGCTGGTCTTGAACTTACTATGTAGCCCATGCTGGACTGTACAGAGTAATCCTCCTGCCTCAGCCTCCTGAGTGCTGGGGTTACAGGCGTGCCCCACCACCCTGCTACATATTGACTGTTTTAATTGTGTACCTGTGACCTAATGATTTATGAGCTGTGATTTCTTTTGCGCTCCTCAGATTTTTTATTGGCTTTCTTCACTTTTATGTCCATAAGTTATAAAATATGTGTGGTTTTGATGCTTTGCTGGTTTTGCTGAGCTTCCTTTCTCATTTTATTGATTACTATTAAAAGATGCATAAGGCTTAAAATGCTGACACGAATGACGAGGTAGATGGTCTCACATCAAGAATCCAAAGCAAATTGTGAGAATCGTGTTGATAGAGCTTGGTGATTTTCTGTTGCATTTGTTTGGAAAATGCATAATGATGAGATTAGGGTTTTGTTTTGTTCTGTTTTCTTATTTTTAAAAAGCTGCTTTGGGGTAGGAGGATAGCCTAGTGTTAGAACAAATTCCTAGCACACTTGAGGCCCAGGGTTAGCATCTCAAAGAAAAAAAACTGACTTCTAGAGAAGCAGCAGACAATTCTGATGTCCTATTTCAATTTTCTGTACAAGTGTAGGCATTTTTTTTTTAATTTTTTCCAGTACCAGGAATCAAACTCAAGAACTTGTGCTTACCAGGCAGGTGCTATAGGCATATTTATTTTTTAAAAAGAATAAGAGAAAGCTGGGCATGGTGGCACACACCTGTAATCCCAGCACTTAGGAGGCTGAGGCAGGAGAATCACTGCAAGATCGAGACCAGCCTGGGCTAGTGAGTTCCAGGGCAGTCTGAACTACATAGTAAGACCCTGTCTCAAAAAAAAGGGCCAGGGATTTATCTCAGTGGTGCCGCCACCTGCCTTGCAAGCACAAGGTCCTGAGTTCAATCTCCGGTACCAAAAATAATAATAATAATAACAACAACAATAATAATAATAAGAGCTAGGCGTGGTGGTGCATGGGACTGAAGCTGGCCTGGGCTACATAGTGAGTTCAAAGCCAGCCTGAATTACAGAGCAAGACTCTGTCTCAAAAAACCTAAAATAATAATAACAACAATAATAATAATACATAAGAAACACCAGTGGCAAAATGGGAGATACTGTTTAGATTATTGCCACTTTAAGTTCCTGTTCTGTTTGCTGCACAAGGCCAGAGTACGAGGCAGAGGGGCCGGTACTGATCCACGCACACCTGTTAGCTTCCTTCCTTCCTTTTCCTGATGGAGAAGATGCCCACCTATGAGGACAGTGGTTCTCAGACTTACTAAAGACCAGGCCCCCTGGCTCTCTCTGGGTTTCCTAGACTAGAGAAGAAGACAGAAATGAAGACGGGAAGATGGACTTGTTGCATTTTAAACTGGAGCTTCCCCTGCAGTCCACTGAGCACGTCCTCGGAGTACAGCTCATCCTGATCTTCTCTTACCAGCTGCATGTGAGTGGGCCCCGCAGGAGGCCCGTCCTGTCCCTCCTGCCTTCTTTGATAGCACAGAGCCTCCCCGCTGCTTTCTAGGAAGACCCATGCTGTCCAGGGCTGTCGGGGGATTTAACATAGGAAAACAGGATGTTCTTCATTGGAGTCCTACTAATTTATGAGCATGAGACACCACCCAGAGGGCCCGGGCAGAGCGTTTCCCACAGAACTGGCCCGGGAACGTAGAGCCATTAGCTTCAGCTGCAGACAGTGACTGTTGGGCCCAGAGCCCTTCCGATGTGACAGCAGTTGGTGTTTTCTGTCGTCCTAATGATTTCAGAGGATGTCCACGTTCGTGATGCAGAGCATGGCCCTTCTCCAGTCCTCCTGCGTGGTGCCCGGGGCCCAGCTTTATGTGAACGGAGACCTGAGGCTGCAGCAGAGGCAACCGCTGAGCTACAGCGGCCTGGACGTCAGATACAACGTAAGGGTCGGGGCGTCCAGCTCCGCCGTCTCTGCCTGTTTAGCGCCCAATTTGAAGAGGGAGAAGTGAAAGCTGGCAGCGGCATTTCCCTGTGGGTTACACAGACAAGGACTCCTGAGGAATTCTTGCCATGAATTCTTTCAAAATGTGGAGAAGGTACACCTGTACACGTACGCAGAGAGAGGGAGAAAAGGTTTTTACTGGCAAACTCAATTGCTTATTGCTTTCCAAATTATCATGCCAAATGCCCATGTAAAGCATTTTAAAAGTAACACTGGCCCCCATTTCTGGAACATGGAGGAAGTTTACAGCTGGGTGTGGGGGTGATACCTGTGGCCCCAGCCCTCACAAGGCTGACACAAGAGGATCACTTGAGACCAGCCTGGGCAACACAGCAAGACCCCAATCGTAAAGGGAAAGAAAAGGTTTACACACATCTTATTTCCCCATCCCAGCAACCTCCCAAGGTACCTCAGAGTGTCATTTCTCCGCTATCTGTCCAGCATTGCCCGCTTGCTGTATTCCAGCCACTCTGGCCTCTTTATTGTTCTTTGAGCCTTTGAGCAATGCCTGCCTTCAGGGCTTTTGAACTTGCCGTTCCCTCCCCAAGTATCCATGGAGCTTATGGACCACTCATTCCGGTCCCTGAGCAATGTCCTTCCCTGACCCTCTTTTCCAGATATGCTTGCCCCTTCCTCTAGCACCCCTCTACTGCTACCAACACCCTAAAGACAAGTTCCTGCTGAGAACAGAGGAGGGGAGGAGGGAGGGCTGGGGTCTCCTTGCTCAGCCATGACCTCCTGCTGTGTCCCATGTGTCCCAGGTGTCTGTGATCGACGGGACCAGCCCTTTTGCCTACGACTACGACCTCACCCACATTGTGGCTGCCTACCAGGAAAGGAACGGTGAGCCGTGGGCAGAGCCCATCTCTGCTGCTCAGACTCCAGGTTGGGGGCTGCAGTGGCAACAACAAGAGCCCTTGTCATCCGGAAAGTCTCAGAACCAGCGAAGGCACAGTGGTAGGATGTGGATGGGCCCGCAGGATCTGTCCTTCCTGCTGCCATCTCCCCACCACTGAGGTTTCCACACTCCAGCAGCCCCAGCTAGCCCACCACTGGCTCGATGGGCTTCCTCGTTTGGTTTTTTAACATCTACAGGTGCCTAGTGGATTTGTTCCCTTACCACACCTGTAAGAGAAGCCCAGGCAGCTGCGCTCTTTCCACTAGAAGAGAGGCTGCGAGCCGCCCCACTGTGGCAGCCCCTAGAGAGCAGAAGCAGCCACGGTTCTGGCTGTAGGTGTGATGTGTTCAGTCCTTCCAGGGCGAGGGGCCTGGGCCAGCCTTGTGCTTAACTCTGTGGGCTGGGCTGGGCTGGGCTGGTCAGGTCAGGTCAGGTCAGGTCAGGTCAGTGGCCCGAGGTTTTCTCTAAGGGCATTGCATCTGTGGCTGTGCCACACCGGACGTGCCCCAGGCCGTTGAAAGGCACCGAAAGGGTTACCTGACAATCAGACACATGGACACGACACACAGACATTTCACAAGTGGTGAGGCCCGCAGGTGCTGTATTTCTTCCTAATTTTTGTTTTATTTTTTGAGACAGGGCTTCATTACATAGTTCAGGCTGGCCTTGAACTCACTGTGGAGCCCAGGCTGGCCAAAAAAATCACCTCAGCCTCCCAAGTGCTGGGATTACAAATGTGTGTCACCACACCCAGCTTCTTCCTAATTTTGTGCAAAACAACAGCAGCATTATTCCAATAAATAGGACTTTTAAAACAAAACTAAAAATCATTGGCCTACAAATCAACTTTTACCCCTTTATTTCGTTCACTCTATATGCACATGGAGATTTTTTTCATCCCATTGTTATAGTGTAGGAACACTTTGGGATCCAAATTATATTTAATCTAATTATATAAATATTTCTACCACACTGCTAAAAAGTTCTGACAGTATGTTTACTGGCAGTAGAATACTCCTTCGGTTAGTCATTCGGCAATTGCCAAGTTTTTGGCAAATATTTTAACAAATAACATGGGCAGCATTGTGCATGCAATTTCTTTTCCCTTTTGTTTCTTTGAACTCTGATGCCCAGGAATCAAAGGACACATAGCACAGCCCTCAGTGTTTCTCAGTGTCTTTGCCTGCGGGCCGCCTGGGCTAATAGTAAGTGTTTGTGTTGCAGTCACGACGGTCCTGAGCAACCCCAACCCCATCTGGCTGGTGGGCAGGGCGGCGGAAGCGCCCTTTGTGGTTAGAGCTGTCATCCGCTACCCTGTGGAGGTCATCTCATATCCTTTCCGATGGAGGGGTTCTCCAGGTCGGAGCAGGAACAGCTGTGGCCCAGCTTATGCTGGGAGTGCTACTGCGCTGCTCAGATGACTGCCTGCCTGCTGTTCATTACAGGGAAACATTTCCTGTTCCTGTTTCCTCCTGAGCTGTTCTTCTAGGTCAGGGTCATCCATATTTATGCTCGGATAATCTCAATTATCCCTTTTACCTTACAGATATTTGAAACATTCTTGCCATTTCCTGTAAGTGTCACTGTTCTCCTTAACCATCCTTACTTACCAGCCAGGATTCTGGGAGATGATCAAGTTTGCCTGGGTTCAGTACGTCAGCATCTTGCTCGTCTTCCTCTGGGTGTTTGAAAGAATCAAAATATTTGTGTTTCAAAATCAAGTGGTGACCACGATCCCTGTGCCAGCTGTGTCGCAGGGAGACTTGTATAAGGAGCACTTATCCTGAGGAGACGGTTCTGAAGACTCCGCAGGCCCCTGGCTCCCTCACTGTTGTCATGTGGAGAGTGGACACCTGCAGGTTGTGCAGTTTGCCCCTCAAAGACAGCTCTTCCCACTTTTGCTCTACACAAATTCTGCATCCACCAAGCGCCAGCAAAAATCACTGGGCACTGGTTTGTGGGAACATCAGAGGGCTCACGGAAGCTATCATTTGTTGCTTTTGTGTGTTTGTTTGCCTTGCCCTTGAATTTCAAGAGAGCCTTCCAGTCAGTTCAGGCATCTTGGAAGGAGTCCCATTTCTGGTCAAGCAGACATGGTTGCTCTTTTGAACTGGAAGCGCCTCTTCTCCCTATTATAATCCACTTTGACTCTTTTCTTTAGGCCTCTCATGATGAATATTCAAATCCCTGGCAGTTTTGACTCTTGGGGATCTACAGTTCCCTCTCAGAGCTCTGATTCCCAGACGGAGGCCTTCATTGGGTGGGGCCCAAGAGCAGGCCCTGCAAACCCACGGTGGGCAGGGTGGCTGAGGACACCAGGACTGACCACCTGCCTTCAGGCCGACAGACAACATCTGTCGCCAGCCCAGCTGAGCAGCCCTCGGTGCCTGCCTCTTGCGCTGCATCTGCAGCCCTGGAATGGCAGATTGAGTCAGAATTGCTGTTTCACTCATCCCTCAGTGATGGTGGGGGTGCGCAAGGGTTGTAACAACAGGTTCTTTCTCTCTGGCCCTCACCCAAAAGCTTGGACACTTGCCACCCCCCATCCTCCTTCCTGAGAGGATGCGGGCGACAGAGGATCCTTTGTTGGTATTGGCTCCCCTGCCTGACAGCCACGGGGTTTATTTGGAGGGCTCACGTGAAGCCCAGCTACCTGCACTTTCCATGACTAGGAACAAGATGCCCAGCACAGGGACAGCTCGGGGGGACAAGAGGAGCAGGAGGGACTGAAGAGGCTGCTGGGCCAGGCATGGCAGCCTGGCCATTAGCAAGAAGACCAGCAGTCCAGCTGCTAGACAACCCTCTTGGCTGGGCAGGTGTCTGCAGGGTGAGAGGCAGCTAGAAGGGACTTACGCTGCATGCGGAAGACATTGGTTATTCAGCCCATCCCCACCCTGGGCAAGCACTGCAGCCTCCTCAAAGGCCAGATGGGTCTGATTTATAGTCCCCAGCATGTCATCAGACACAATGGAGAGATACACCCTCTGTGACTCATGCTTCCTGCTCCCCCACAGACATCCTTCAGTGTGTGCCTCAGTTTGCCTCGGGATCCAGTTCCTAATTCCAAAGCACCTTTTCTTTCAGGCTGACCAAAATAAGAGGGTTTTTTTGTTGCTGTTTGGTTGTGTTTGTTTGTTTGTTTTTTGAGAAACAGCCTTGCTACATAATTCACACCAGCCTTGGCTATGTACTTCAGGTTGGCCTTGAACTCACTTTGTAACCCAGGCTATCCTCACATTCAAGCGGTCTTGCCTCAGCCTATTGGTGCTGGGATTACAGGCATGCACCACCATGCCAGTCTTAATTAACCTTTCTCTCTTGCTGACACCCAAAGTTAAAGAAGAGAAGGTTTAGCTCAGTTTGTAGAGGTCTCAGTCCATAATCAGCCGGCTCCAAGGCAGGGTGTCTTGGCAGAGGGCATCTCAGAGGAGAGCAATTCGCGGCGGGGGACGGGCAGAAAACGGCAAAAGCCACCAAGAGAGGGACCTTAACAGCGTCCTTCTGTGTCTTTTATCTTAGGGCGGGTAGCACTCACATTAATCCTAGTATCTTTGACCCTAGCATTGTACTTTGAATTAATCCCAGCGTCCCACACAAGATCCGGTACATTTGAAAAAGCCCCACTTGTGACCACATGGGACGTCTAAACACAAATCGTAACAATGACTGTCACCAAAATAAGAGTTTTAGAAATAATACTTTGAAATACTCAGGCAGAAAAATCCCCTTACTCTAGTCCCTCTGACTTTTACTATTTAGGTCCATTTAGACACCTACTTATCGCTTCTCGGCCTTCTGGCTAAGATCAAGTGTAGATGCCTACATTTTTTTTCTTGAGATTTAAATGAAAACTGGTTTCTGGCTTAAGTGTCTAAAAGATAACAAGATATGGGAGGGTGGCTAAAGATAAGTGTTTGTTTTACACTTTACTGTTCTAATGCAAAATTTGTATAGAGAACCCATAATGTTTTATAACTTTCTAATTAAAATGTCCAAAACAGAAGGTCTTCTGTTTTCTGTTTTAGAGGGAAAGGGCTCGGAAAGGGAAGAGCAGGGAGGGCAGAGGTTGGGCTCACTTCTCCCAGTTACTCACCGGCAGCCTGACGCTGCCAAGGCACTGCCCAGGACCGTGGAGCTTTTGTCACCTCCTGGCAGAGGTCTCCTGGTCCAGCCCCAAGTAAATGTGAGTTTCCAGCGGAGTCCACAAAGCATGTGGAAGCCGTAGCACGGAAAGTTACAGCTGTGTCTGGTGAACGTCAGGTTATTTTCACATCAGAGGTTGGTAGCTTCTGAACCTAAACCACACAGCCGAGTTGCTGGAGGAAAAAAGGTGAGAAAAACAGGGCTACCTCAACTGAATTATGGCCCAGAGCTAAGTCAGGGTTTGAGGTAATTACTCAGTTTGGAGGGGGGCTGCGCGGGGAAACTGCCTAATTTTGTCACGTGATTAGTCCAGTTTCTGTTGGAGTCAGGTGAGGCTGCTGATTCCCCGTTTAGGTTCGGTCGTGCAAGGTTAATAAAGCTCTCTTCCTTTCCCCTTCTCAGTTTTTCCCCACCTCTCCTCTCTTCCTCTTCATATTGTTTGGACTTTTTTTTTTTTTCTTGTCTCTTCCTCTTCATATTGTTTGGACTTTTTTTTTTTTTCTTGAGATACTGGGAATTGAACTCAAGATCTTGGTTCGAAGCTACATCCCCAGCCCTTTTAAATTTGTTTTTATTTTGAGATAAAATCAAGCTAAGTGGCTAACCTGCCCGGGGTGGGCTCTAATTCGGAACCCGCTTGCCTCAGCCTCCCAAAGTGCTGGGGTTACAAACCTGCACCACCACTTCCCACCCCATGAGTAAGGCTCTCAATTCGTTTCGCCAAACCGCACTGAGGAAAGACTGCACTCATTTGCACTCCTCGCGGCAGGGAGTTTCAGATGCCAGCACGGATTCTAAGCTCCATCCTCTCCGCACGCCTGCTTCTGCCCGTCGTTTGTAAGGGGAGGAAGTTTTCTATTTTATCTTGACTCTTGTCCTGTATTTATCGGGACCTGCCACCAAGCCTGCCCCTCTGGGTACATGCGAGCTCCGGGCGGGACGGGATGAGGCGCGACAGCTTCGGCGCCCGGGGCGGCTCGGTGCCGGGCATCCAGGTGCCTGGGTCC